CACACTTCTCCTCATAGAGCCCAGCCTCTCAGATAATCTGCTCTGCATACAGGTTGAAAAGGTATGGAGGTAGGACACATCCCTGGCGTACACCCTTCCCAATTTTGAACCATGCAGTGTTACCCTGCTCTGTTCTGATGACTGCCTCTTGGTCCGAGCATAGGTTTCACATTAGCACGACTAAATGTTCTGGGATTCCCATTCTTCTCAGAGTCAGTCACAGTTTGTTATGATCCACACAGTCAAACGCCTTTGCATAATCAATGAAACACAGATAGACATTCTTCTGGTATTCCATGCTTTCAGCTAAGATCCATCTAACATCAGCTACAATATCCCTAGTACCAGGACCCATTCTAAACCCAGCCTGGACTTCTGGCAATTCTCTGCTGATGTGCTGTTCCAGTCGTTTTTAGATAATCTTCAGTAGAATCTTGCTCCCAACTCAATAGAAGCTGATAAATTACCAATTTCATTTCTTTCCTTTCTTCTTGTTTCTAACTATCATGGGAGAATGTTTGTATAAAAAGACTGAGACACAAACCAGTCATTACTTTTGTCTTCACTATTAGTAATGCATTGGGGGAAATCACTTAATGCTGTTTCATTATAATGGAATGGGGATTATGATGCTATTGTTATGTTCTGCCAAGTCATCATAGTGGCTCATCATAATCCTGTATACAAGAGATCCAAACATACTTTGGGCATGGCATGTGGCCAGGAGGGACCAGTTCCTGAAGAAGGAGATCATGCTTGGAAGGGTGGAGGAACAGCACAGGACAGGAAGACCACGGATAAGATGAATCAACACAGTGACTATGAGTGCTGGAGACAGTAAGACTGGCTCAGGATACAGCAGAGTTCAGAGCTATTGTGCATATACGGTTGCTATGAGTCGCAGGCAACTTGCTGGCACATAACAACAACATGCATATGAAAGCTAGATAATCAATAATGATGACAGAAGAGGCCTCTGAATTGTAATGGTGAAGAGTATGGAATATGCCACGGACTGCAAAAGAACAAGCAAGTCTATCTGAGAGGAAGTTCAATCAGGCTGCTTACTCCTTAGACACAAAGACTGTGAAACTTCGTCTCATAAACTTTGGGCATGAGGTCAGGAGTGGCCAGTTCTTTGAAAAGGACACCATGCTGGGAAGTGTGGAGGGTCAGAGGAAGAGAGGAAGACCCCTCCCCCACAAGATGGGCTGTCAGAGCGACGACGACAGGCTGGAGCACATGCGGGACCGTGAGGATGGAGCGGAGGAGGGCACGCTTCAGATAGATTGCTCCTAGGGCTGTTATTATCAGTTGTAGTCAACTTGATGACACTGAACCACAACAACACAGGCAAACATGAACTACAGCCTATTTTTCCCAAAAGTAGAAATATCATGACATCATGTGTACTTACTTAGCACAGCGTACCCAGTGCGTATGGCGGTACAAGGAGTATAAGAAGCGCTGGCGGCACATATTCCATACTTTGATAGATTTGTCTTCAGAAGCTGTAACGAGGTACTGGCCATCAGTCGAAAAGTCCACACTCCGAACAGGGGCAGTGTGAGCTTTAAATTCAGAAGATTTCCCCTTCCTGGAAATAAACCATATTTATAATTCATTAGATTTCATTACAACTAACATCTAATCGATTCTGTAGCATAAACAGGTTGAATTCTTTTAAATACTAAGGTGTCAGAAGGAGTTGTACTCTAGTTCTTCTCAATCCTATTGCACACTGGTTTTGCTAACTAAAGTATAAGATGGTAGTTAACAAGTTAGGCCCTGGTTTACCTCATTGTGATAGGCATTTTCAGTCTTGACTTTAACTGAAAACTAGGATTTTTAATGGATTTCTATCATGTTTTAAGTTTCTGTTTTTCCTGTAGAAATAACAGCATACAGTTCAAAAAACTTAGAACACAGAAAAGCAAAATTAGATGAAATCCAAGCTGTGTGAACGGGCAATTGAGTTGTTGTTGTTGTGTGCTGTTGAGTCAGAACCAACTCCTAGCTGACTTTCCAGGGGCTTTCAAGACTGTAAATATCATGGGAAGAGAATGCTCATCTTTCTCCCACAGAGTAGCTTGGTGGAGTCAAACCATGAGCCTTTGGGTTCCCAGCACAATTCCTCAGCACTAAGCCGCCAGAGCTCCCTATCATGGGAAATGTGCTCTTTGCCTCTAGACAGAATGACTGTAGAAGATCTGGTTCTCTAGTCTTCACCTGTAAAGTCTGCTCAGCAGTAAAGAGAACTGTGGCATCCCAACACACCACCTTCACTTCTCTATGTGCAATCTTACACTGAGAAGCAAAACAAGGATAAGTGGTAATAACTTTTAAATTTCAGATGCAGGGTTTTTGTTTTGTTTTTTGGAGAGCATGGAAAAAGGAGACTAGGGAAACTGAGGGAGAAAATAATATGAAACACTGAAAAGATGCAGAAAGGTTGTTCAATTATTGAAGGGCAGGATAAACAGGAGTGAAGGTACAGGGTGACATCTGGGAACTATTCTGTTATCATCTTTCTCAAAACACTTTCACCTTCCATTACACTGAGAAGTTAGCTCTTTTTTTTCCCCCTTTACAATTGTGCAGAGGGTTTTATTGTTGTTGGGTAGCTTTAAAAAATTATTATTTAGACATGGAATTTTTTTTTCTTCCTTTTCAGAGAATTTAGCATTAAAAAAAAAAAACCAAAATAAACCAGTATTTATACAAAAAGAGCTCTGATTCCTATTCTGTTGCACAGCTAACCAAAAGGTCATGCATCTCCCATGGTCAAATTCACCGTCCTTGGGAAGTAAGATGGTAAATCTCATTAAGATTTACCACCTCCAAAACTTGGTGGAGGGTTGTTATGAGTCAGAACGAACTTGATGGTAGTGAGCTTTATACACATTTATATTAGTGATACTCTGTGGGGGAAATGGTTATAACTGCTTGACAAAAAGCTCAGGAAACAGAATTTAGTCTGAAACAAGACATCTGCCTCGACTCTGTAAACATGCACACTACTTGCCCATGCATGCACGCATGCCTCCTCCTGCCCTGCTACACGCTGGTTTACTGTAGCAATATCTGCTCATCTCCAAGTCCCAAGTATGGAAGAAACCGCAATCAGCTACTTCCTCTTTCTCTTCTGCATCCAACATTGTTTTCACTTCCTAAATATCTTTTGAATCTCTCCTGTTCTTTCTATCCAAAGGGAAGTTGTCTCAGTATAGATATACCCTTCTTCAGTCTTTACTGAGATTATTGCAAAAGCTTCTTATCTGGTCTCCCTGCTCTAATCCTTTGCCCATCCCTCCCCCAGTCACCTACATCCTGTGTTTATGACCTTGCTAAAATGATAACTCCAAGTACAAAAACTGGACCACTGGCTCTCTTTTCCCTAATACTCAAGTTCTTTGGCATGGCTTCTTGCCACGACTTAAATTTTGTCTTCTTTTTTTTAAAAAAAAAAACTTTGTCTTCTTAGGGTATTAAGTGTTTCAAACACATCTCTGCCTGAATTCTTGTCTTCTCAGCCTGGACTACATTTCTCCCATGACCAGAATCCCTGTATCAACACAAACTCAAAACTCGAACTCACTGCCGCCAGGTCAGTTCTGACTCGCCACCAGTTTCCAAGGCTCTAAATCCTAACAGGAGACCGCCTGTCTTTCTCCTGTGAAGCTGTTTAATGGAGTCAAACTGGTGGAGGAGCACAGTCTTCACATTAGAAGCGTGACTGACTACCGACTAAGCCACCAGACCGTACTGGTTCAGCTGCACCTATATTAGGATTACTACAGTATGCAGTGATTTATTTATTCACTTAAATAGGCATGCTTCTCTCTATTAAGTAGTCTGAGGTCAGGAATGGTGATTAGTAATTCTTGTCAGGCCAGCATCCAGTGCAACACCAGGCATGAAAGGCTTTCACTGAGGTGAGGGGGCAATACTTAACAATCTGGCTTACCCTTCCCACAGAAAGCAAAGATGGCCTTATTAAAAATTTCCATCACCTGATATATGACTTAAACCAATAGTAAGAATAATAAAACCCAAAATCTCCTGCTGCCGAGTCACACCTGACTCCTGGCCCCCCTCTGTTGATTTTCTGAAGCTCAGAGCATTATTAGAAGCAGACCATACCATCTTTCTTCCTTGGTGGATTCGAACTACTGATTTTGAGTTAGCAGTCCATTATATAACATACAATGCCACTGGGATTCTAATGACCTCTCACAATTGAAAAAAATTATAAATAAGAGGAGGCCTCCAGGGACAAACAGAATGAGGTTTCAAGAGAGATTTCGAGAAGTAGAAATTAAGAGAACTGTCTGGCTGAATTCAACTGGAAGGCCTAGAGAAAACACACAGAGAAGAACTGTTATTGGGGTCATTTCTGTCATCATCTTGGCTTCACCCAGTAAACCAAGAGACAGTATCATCAAATAGGCCTTGATTTTTAAGTCTATACTCTGTATTCTAACAGGCTAACCTGTCTGTCTTCTTCCTAAAAAGCTTGCTTTCATTCAGCCAGAAGGTAGCCTAACTGCTATATCCTGTCCCAGCAGGAAGCACACAAGAAACCAAGATATGCATGCACTGTGTTTGCTGTGCTGATGTTTATCTCACTTTTAGTTCCTGCCTTCGCAGCCCAAATTCTCTTCATCTCTTCCTGTTAGTAACTCTGAGGCCAGGCCTGCTTTCTTACTTGCTCCCACTTGTTCTTTCTCAGCCTTCTATCTACCAGCTGCAGTGTCTGTCTGCAAATACAGGTGCCAAGAATGCCCCTCATCTCCATGCACCCAGCCACTCTTCCCTTCAGGAAGTGGATTCTGCCTACTGCTCCTCCTTTGGAGTTCAGGCTGTCACTGTGACTCACTGACCAAAGAAAATGGGCCAGAAGTGACGCTGCAAGTGTTAGGCCTAATCTTACCAGACTGAGCAGTTTCTGGTTTCACTCTCCCGGAATTCAGCTGCCATGCTATATGGAAGTCATCTGCTAAAGAGAAGGCACATGGAGAACCAAGGTGCCCAGCCAAAAGCCAGCCCCAAGATGCCAGATATGTGGCTTAGACCTTGGAAAAGTTTCATCAGTTTAATGGAGCTGAACAAGCAACATTAACCAACACTAACTGTATCATCCAGACAACCCACAAAGTTAAGAAATGATAGTTACAATTCTAAGCATTTACGCTTTGGGGATTGTTACGGATAATGGAGCCATCAGCATCACTCCCACTGCCATGCTCTGCCAATGCCGTGGTCTTAACATGGTGTATTAGAAAGGGAAACTAGTGACACCTGCCAAAGTCTAATTGGTGCATGTAGATTAAGCCAAAACCAACTGCCTGTGAGTTGATTCTGATCACAGCAACCCTCCATCAGCCTTCTGAGGCCACCTCCTCTTCCTCAGGAGAATTCTGTGGGGGATCCCAACCAAAAAGGTGCCACCTTTGGGTCAGCAGTGCAACCCCCTATGGGCCACACTATCAAGGTACCCGGATAACATTGCCTGTTCACTGAGATTTTATTGAATTGGTACTGGTGTAAGGCTATGTTATCCAAAAGACAATGATATCACGAACTTCCATTTCCCCAAGTTAAACACTTTGGAAAATGCTTTCCTCAAACTGTAGACTAATCTAACCATCTTATAGATCTCCTTAGGCTGTCATTTACAATGATCACTACAACATACCATGTCTTCCTAACAGTTTTCACTACCATCAGGCTAAGGCTCAGAACTTACAGCCTGGAGTGTCCCTGGGCGGGTGTGTGTGTGTGTGTGTGTGTGTGTGTGTAGAAGGAAAGTGTCCAGCAGTCAGGAAATTCCTCATGAGTTTTCTTACATTTGAGAGTGTCTGGGCCTGTTTGCTCATGTACCTCAAATCCAATCCATCCCAATAGTGACGAAAATACTCAAACTTTCATCGTCTTTAGCTTTGACAGAAAGCATTATAAAAATGTACACCATTTGTTCTAAAATATTTCAGGGGAAGAAAGGAGGGGTAAAGAATAGTGGAAGAGATGAGGCAATATTGGCAGAATAATCATTGCTAAGGCTTTGGTGGCCTGGTGGTAAACACAAAGGTATGTGGGTTGAATCTGACAGCTTCTCCAGGGGAGAGAAAAAAAATGAGCAATCAACTCCTGTGCAATTCATTGCCTCTGAAAAACCTGCTGAAAGCCAGCTATGAGCTGGTCCCAACGTGACAGTATACAACAGCAGCTAAGGCCAAGTGACACGAAATGGACAAAAGTGTCAACTGAGGTGGTGTTACTCATTTTATTTTCATGTATGTTTGAAACTTTACATAATAACAAGTTTGATTTTTAAAAAATCATATACCACTAACGCAACTTAATGAGTTAATAAGCTAGGGGTTGAATCCACTAAAACCCCCGTCATCAAGTAAATCCCACTCACAGTGGCCCTCCACTGGGCTTCTGAGGTTGTCAATCTTTATGGGGTGAGACTGTCCATTTTTCTCCCACAGAACACTTGTGGATTCAGATCTTTCGGCTAGCACCACAACATGTGTGCTATGCCACCACAGCTTCTTTAGGGTTTGAACAGTTAAATAAAATGCAAACAAAAACTTGATACTTTTGTCAGAAAACTTTCTACTAAGAAATTCTAGGGGCCAGTAACAAGTAATAAAAATCAAAGAATAGCTCTGGGATAAGCGTTTCAGTTTCTTCTGAAAAGAGCCAAAAATGGGCTTTAGGAAGTTAAAGAAGTCCTTGAAATATAAAAGCTTTGGTTATTATATTTGGATGTCTATGTTTTGGGGGAGACAATCCAAAGTTGAAATCAGATTTATAAAAGGATTGGTAAATACCTAAAACCTTAAAATATACAGAACACATTTCCATTATTGGAAATTATTTCAAAAGAAGACACAATGCTGCATTAAAGATGAAGAAAACATTGCATAAAATAGTTAGACTTTAGAACAATGACAGTGCAAACTGTTATGGCTCAGTGTAGGTCAAGCAGGGGTTAGGCCTTTCCGAAAAGATTAAAAGGGTCAGCTAGACCTCAGCATCCTGTCACATTTCTAAATCCAAAGCACATCAAGCAGGGCTTTTTTGTCGTCTCTCTTACTTATCAGGAATCCAGAGTCTAACGGTTCTGTCTCGTGAGGCAGATGCCAGTAAGTGTCCAACTGGAGAAAACTGCACGCTGGTTACAACGTCCTTGTGACCTACAAATCTGAAGGCTCTAGCTTGTGGCTTGAAATTCCATAGCATGAGAAATGTATCCCAAGAAGTAGTAGCTATCAAGAAACAAGAGAACAAAACCACTGTTTGTTAAAATGCAAATGTATGCAAGGCTCATTGCAATGGGCAACATACCTCATAACAGGTAACAGAGGGCTCCGTTTTAAGTTTGACTAGGTAATAATGACTTTTTTTTTTTTATAATGACATTTTTAAACACAGACTACAACACAAATATGCCAAGGTTGGCTATGTCCTGCCTCACAGCAGGATTTCTGGCCCTTGTATTCAATTTTTTTTTTTTTATATATATTAACTTTATATTTGTCACCATTAATTTTTATCCTTCACTGAAACTTTAAAATTGTATGAACTCTCGAATATTATTAGATTAAACATAAGACAAAAAAAAAACAACAAACATGGAGGCAGTAACAATAAATTCGGACAGAAAAAAACCCCAATTAGCACAAACATATCGAGGTCTCTGTTTTGAGTTATTACAGTGTATTCAATTAAAACACTAAACATTCATTGGTGTGAAGTCCAAACTGATGCAGAGCTGACCCTTCAGTGGGGTTTGTTATTGTTGTTGTGTGCTGTTGAGTCAGAACTGTCCCTTAGCTGACCATCCAGCGGGTTTTCAGAGGGAGTAAACAACAAGGGAGGAGATTACCTATCTTTCTCCCACAGAGTAGCTGATAGATTAAAACTGCTTATCTATGCATTGGCAACACAACTGCTTACCAGTAAGCTACCAGAGCTTCCTTTTATGCTGTTGTTGTTGTTATGTGCCATCAAGTCAGAACTGACCCATAGCTGTAGCTGACCCTTCGAAGGATTTTCAGAGGCTGTAAAGAGCATGAGTGGAGATTGCTTATCTCTTTCTCCCATGGAGCAGCTGGTGGGTTTGAACTGTGTGCCTTCGGGATGGCAGGAGAGCTCCTTCCCATAAGGCCACCGAGCTCCTCTTGTATCTATTTAGAACTCCTTAAATACTCATTTATTAGAAGGAGGCATCACAACCTAACTGAGAACACTGGCCTCGCTGGGGGTCAGCTCTGTGTCTATCTAGGTGATTACGAGAGTTCCTTAACGTGCATAAAGGAAAGCTCTTCTGACGGAGCTTGATGATGTTTTTGAAATTGTCAATATGGGAGTAATTTCACACAGAAAGTTAGAATAACAGTGTAAATATGGGAAGGACTTATTTATTCAGATTAATTTGTTATTAAAATTCCCCTATCTCCCCAAGTTGCTTCCGGAGTTTGACCTTGCAATCATTTGCATGTGTTCTCCATGCCCCACTGGATATGCACACACACACACACCCCCCACACGTGCTTTCTCCCCTAAGCCATCTGGGAGTAAACTGTATATATTATGACACCTTTTCTCATAAATACTTCTGTGTATTTTTTCTGAGAATAAGAGCATTCTCTTTTATTGTCATCGAGTCAGAAATGACTCATAGCTGGACCTCCCCAGCAGGTTTTTGGAGGCTGTAAATCACATGGGCGGACACGGCCCATTTTCTCCCTCAGCATGGCTAGAAGAGTCAAAATACCAGAGAGAAGGCAGGCACCTTTAGGTTAACAGTGCAGCACCCCACGCACTGCACCACCAGAGCTCTATTTATACCCATAAATAGAGTTAGGTCTTTTCAGAAACTTATCATTCATGTAATACTTTCATCTACTCTGCCATTTGTATTTTACTAACCCAGGAATGTCTTTAATAGATGAATAAAATAATCTTAAAAGTTTCTTTCTACCCTGCTATTTTATCACACTCCATGATTATTAAAAGAGCCATGGATATTATGATTAACTTAAGACTTTAAGAGAAGAAAATCCATTCAATCAATGATGGAAATAAACTAAGAATGAACACATAAAATATTGAATAACTTGCTTAAAAACCAAATTTTATTATATGTAAGCTCTGGTAGCCTAGTAGTAAGAAGTTGTGTGGCAATCCCAAAGGCATGAGGTTCAAGTCCACCAGGTGCCCCACAAGAGAATGATGGACACAATCTTCTCCTGTGCTATTTACTGCCTCTGACCACCAACCAAAGGGTCAGCTAGATCAGTTCCACTCAACGGCACACAACAATTTCCTCTATGAGTCTGACTGACACAGAAACTGCTACAATGGGCTTGAGCATGGCAGATGCTGGTGAGACAGGACAAGGTCCAGATTTGGTGTTCAGGTCTAGGACTTATATTGTCATCGTTGGTTTGATGGTACCTAGCAACCACAACCCCCTTAAAAAAACAGACAAAAAAGTGTTGCTTGATGTTCTACTACAATTCACTTGAATTATTAAAAATTTATACCAGGACCTTATCTCCTACCTGGTGAAAACAGTGACTTATCATATATATTACAGTTAGGGCCCTATTTAAGTGTTAGGTTGCAAAAAAATACAAAAGTCATTGAGAACAATCCTATTCCTAAAAGAACAACAGTATACTAGAGAAGACAGATCATTAATAGTAGCACACACACACACACACACACACACACACACACGACTTTTGTATATATTATCCACTTAATACATTTGGATGATGTGGCTAGGTGTACCTCTCTGAGGAAGTGGCACATAAGAAACCAGAGTGATGTAAGGAAAAACCCCACTGAAGATTTAGAGCTAGAATGAACCAGGCAGAAAATAATCCATGTAAAAAAAAGTCCAGACAGTAAAACATTTTGAGTAACGAAGAACAGCAAGCTGAGTGCTCATGGTGGAGGAAAGAAATGGGACAGGAATGGGGAGGATGCAGGAAGGGAGGCAGACACTAGAAAAGAAGTCATGGTAAAACGTGTGGAATGGAAAACCACAGAAAGATTTTGAGCAGGGCTATCTTATGATGTGAGTTAGGCATTCAAATTATCACTCTAACAATGGGGAAAGGAGACAGTCTTTTCCAAAAATGATGGTGGGTCAGCTTGATGTTCACTATGGAAAAAATGTTATCTTCTAGCCTTTAAACTGTTGATGTTGTTGCTGTTGATTGCCGTACATACAAAAAAGAAAGTCCATGTAGATTGTAGATCTAAATGTGACAGATAAAACAACAAAACAATTTTTGTGAGAAAAAAATGTCTTTAGAATTAGCCCGACAGACAACATCCAAAGCATCATAACAAGTTGAACATAGGCCTTCTTCTCTCTATCAGGACTAATCATGTTGACCTTGTTGACCTAATGTTGACCTTGGCCAGTGTCCTAGAGCTGCTTTACAGCTGGTTTAATTTGGCACTTGTTGACCTTGACATCCACAATGAACACAAGTGTGTTGTTATCTTCTGTCTTCTTCATGGCTAACTAAAGTGATCAGAGGAAACTTAATGATGGCAGAATGGTCAAGCTTGTCTCTACTGGGGGTGCTCTTCTGGGGCATTTGGGCTGTCTTTGGAGTTTCAGCATCTTGGGCCACCAGAAGAAAGAGTACATGTGGTTCTTCTTTTTTTTTTTTTGTGGCTGTGGACGCCCTTCAGAACTGCCTCCTTGGCCTTTAACGCCTTTGCTTTGACTTCAGTTTTGGGAGGGGCAGGGACTTCCTTCTTCACTTTTGGTGCCATCTTTGTAGAAAGGAAGACAACAAACTTTTAAAAGAAAATAGGATCTTGACGACTTTGGGATGGCAAAGCTTTCTTAAACTGTTGTGCATAGTGCTTATGGGAGCTCTGCTGACTTAGTGTGTAAGGAGTCGCTCTGCCAACCTAAAGACAAACAGTTCAAATCCAGTAGCTGCTCAAAGGGAAAAAAGATAGGCAACATCTTCCTGTACAAATTATAGTCTCTGAAAATCAGATTTGAGTCAGTTCTGACTTGAGGGCAGTGAGCTTGCATTTGTGTTTTGAGCTGTACAAAGCATCACTAAGAGTCAAACCTAACACACAACATCAAGGGGGGAAAAATAATTATTACCACAAAGTTAAAAAAATTTCATTTATCAAAAGACACCAATAAGGAAGTAGGAATAAAAGCCATGAAGTAAAAGCATCCACATGATATGCATACACAGAATCCTACAGACCATGTTGTTATTTGTTGTTAAATGCCATCCAACAGTCTATGATTCAGAGTAACTGCAGCAACAGAGCAAGAAATGGGAACCTCCCCCTCTCCTGTACCATTCTTATCATCTCCTTTATGCTCAAGTTCATTGTTAACAATCGCTGTGTCAGTCCATTCTGCTGAAGGTCTCTCTTTCTCTGACCCTCCACCTTCCCCAGCATGATGTCTTTTTCCAAGGACTGACCCCTCCTGAGGATATGCCCAACACAAGTGCTTCTAAGACATACTCTATTACTCCAGGAATTGCTTCTAAGGAACACTTTAAAAAATCAGATTATCCAATGAGAAAACAGAAAAAAGGCTTAATTAAGTAGGGATTTCACAAAAGAAGATATTTAAGTGGCTCAAAAATACCCATTGCCGTGGGACAGTCAGTTGTGGGCTGCACAGCTAAGCCCAAAGCTGTGATTTTCTTATGGCTGGAATCCCCCAGGGGCCCCACAGGAGGAAGATGTGCAGCCTCAGAAACCAGATAGAGGGTCATGGTGAATTTGAACTGAGTCAGTAACAATGAATTTTAAATAAATGTATGAAAATGCTCTTAATTCTATTAGTTATCCAAAAGGACAATAACACCACAAGGCACTATCATTTGATATTCATAAGAAAAGCTACAGTAAACAAGTTAAATAATACCAAGTCTCAACAAGGATATAGAATAACCAACGCCTTCTTAACCTTCTCTGTTGGCCGTGTGGATGAGGAGTTGCACAGCCACCCCAAAGACAGGTGGTCTGAACGCAACAGCTGCTTCAAGGGAGAAAGATGGGCAATTTCTTCCCATGATCTGTAGTCTCTGAAAACCAGCTGGAGGGTCAGTTATGAGTCAGTTATGACTCAACTGCAATGAGTGATAGGTTGATGGTGACTATGGCTACTGCGGAAATGTCTGAAATACCTGGTAAAGCTGAATGTGTTCTTATAATGTGGTCTAGAAACTCTACTTCTAGGTTATCTATCTAACTG